CTGACCACTCCAAACAGCAGGGCATGGCCGGTGGAGACGGTGAAGAGGCACGACAGGTCGATGTACGGCAGTGGCCGCAAAGGCAGTCAGGCCCTTGCACCCAGTCTGGAGCGCCGCCTCATCGAACTGCTTCTGCGTGATCTTGTGTGGAGTCCCAAGGTGGAGCATCCTGTACATCGCCTGCATGACACTGCCCGTGCTGACGAAATGCTGATGGGTCTTCTTGAGAGCCCGGGCGTCGACCTTCAGGCTCTTGCCTGCATTCCGCTTTACGAAGTGCTGGCTGACTGCTTGGGTGTAGCCACGGAAGCGCACGGTGGCCCCGCGCCCAACATTGGCCTCCATGTGTGCCTCGAATAGGCACCATGTGCAGCTGCCGACACGACTGTTCTGGTCTCGTAGCTGCTGGTGGACCGGTTCTGTCGGTGGGAACGGCTGGAATAAAAGCCTGCCGCGGTCCAGGTGTTGGACGGGCGTTGGAAGATGACCCTTGTGAAGACGACCAGTGGGTGAGTCACCAGCCGACAGGGTGGAAATCCAGCGGTGTAGGACTAGCACCAGCCTGGGAAGTGAGTGCCCGCAACGCTGGGGGCAGGGAGGCACTCCAGCTGCTACAGGAAGCCTGGCAGAGGTTGCAGCGGCTGGGGCAACAGGATGCGGTAGATCCGCGGGATGAACAGGAGTTTCTCGAAGAGGTCGTCTGTTTGCTCCCAGATCCTGAAGACTTCCAACCAGGAAGGATACGTCTACATGTTGCAGTGTGGTGAGTGTTCTTTCAGGCAGCTAATGAAGGCCGGCCCCTCACGGACAAACAGAAACGGTGGCTGGGATACCTGCAGGGCGGAATTCAGCTGGAGTGGGTGCCGTGCGACTACCCAGGGCAAGAACTAGCCCCCGAGCGGGGATGCAAGCTAGCTATAGTGCGGGAAATGCTGCGGGTCGCGGTGCCGGATTGCGACCTAGACTTTATCATGGCGGGTGACCGGCCGTGAGCCGTGCAGTTTCCTAACCATCGCAGCGCGACTCAGCACA